GCTACATTAACGTCAGGACCTTGGAGAAAATCTATAAAAATTACAGAAAAAAGTGCTGCCTATAATATATGACAAACATATCAAAGAAAATGCAACTAATATAAACAACTAGCAACAACGCACTTGCAATCATAAGTTGTATAACAATTACTGATGGATTTGAAATAGAAATACACAATATATCTGAATTGTGTCAGAAGCAAAAAACTTCTTAAAGCATAGCCTAAATCATGGTTCTATTTTCCACACCAGAAAGTCCTTCAAATATATAAGGACCATATACTCCCTCTTTCATAACTCAATAATACAAATTGAATAGTCTATATAAACATTTAATTCCAATTAATAAGTTTGAATTAAATTCTTTAGAGAGAAAGAATTAATCTAACCTAATCTTGCAGATGAAATGTTAATTTTGGTGGCATCCTTATGAAGAAGAATTAATCTAACCCTAAATCGCTGCATATGCATAGCATACCATTGCAAATCCAAATTAGCAAACTCATTCATCAATTGGCTTTTCATAGGCACAGGCAAAATTATATGTTAAACTTTGCTAGATGCAGTAAGGCCAATTTACAACATCAATAATTGATCATATTCATCCCGAGTATTCAAGAACTTAATTTAGTGGAAAATTGATTAGTTCCATTTCAATTCAAAATAGATAAAAGAGAGCAGGAAAAGTTTTCATTTTGGCTAAATCACCATAGGCACCAGGGATAACAATTGAAAGGCACACATTTTTAGGCACAGACCTAACCTTGCGTAAATTATAACAACAGACTCAATAATTAGACTCATAGGTAACCTGATGTGAATTATTTTATAAGTAGGCGTGCGTGTGAAATCTTGGATAATATTAATGATGTGCATCAATGAATATGAAATGAGTGTAAACTTTAAAGTAAAACAGAAGTGGCTTACTTTGTAGCTTCTTCTGTAGTAGTGAAGCTTGGATATGTGACTGCCTAGAAAGTGGTTACCCAACTCTGTAAGCTTTGGAGACAGCAATCAACTGGTTTCCTGTATCACTTCAAATGGAAAACCCATCAGCCTTCTCATCAACAATTGGTGAAGAAACTCCATTTTAATCTAATAGTTGGGCTCAGGATTGATTGAAAAAGAGGAAAAGAAAAAGGTTATGAACTTTGGTACTCAAATACCATGTCAATTGTAGCAATAGGGCAGTGTGACAGTTAAGAAGGAAGTCATTCTGCTAATTCATAATCTGATATCTTTAACCCAAATTTGAGGAAAAACACAAACACACACACATTATTAGGCTTGAAATTCATAATACAATGATTGATATAGAGGGACAAATAAAATCTAAGATAGAGTAATTTTACATGTGCACCTATCGCTCAAAATATGCAGTAAATAGACCATCTGAAGCCTTGATACCCTGGATTATCCTTTTATAACAGGCTTTATGCAAGTAATGGAAGCTGTACCATGTTTTACAATCAATAAGAGCAAAGTAATTTTAAATTTTATATTCATAATAAATTTAATTCAAAAATGTAATTTAATCCTTAACAGAATTCATACAGGTAGTCTATGATAAATGGACATAGAATCATAATTTTGTAAAGGGAAACAGGTATCTAAATGAAGAAAATATAAAGGGTTATCAAGAGAAAGACAATCACATATGCCCATCCAATAGCTTCCCCGATATAGAAGCATAGAATCCTTTTCTTATTTGGCCAATTTAAGGCTAATTGACTCCATATCCAAAACAGACCCAGAAAGTTGGGTAATTTTCTTCAAGTAAGCATCAACACTTCATTCACACATAACATATCGTCAATGAATTAGTATTGAGTAGTGAAAATCATGCTGGTTGCAATTTCAAATATGTCATTAACTGGTTAACAGATTTTTTAGAGAAAAACAATTGAAGCATAAACAAATTAACAACGAACCTAACTTGAATCAAATTCTTAGTTATAAGCTAAATTATAACATTCTTCTTCCCTAGTTCTAATTCATAGTGTCCTGTATATAAATGTAAAAGAGCTAAATCTGAATCAAGTGTTGTAATCCCCAAAAAGTCAAGGAGAAAATTTGTTGTAGAAACTAATGTGTTAAGTTATAACTAATTTCCAGCAAACAATATAAAAACTGTCTAAAATGAAAAAGTAAAATACGAACGAACAAGCTCTTTGCTTTCTTCAAACAATGTAATCTCTTTGACAATTAACACAATGATATACGAAGGAGCTGTTGGGCGGGGATTGTGCGACCTTCTCCCCTCAGGCGAGGTCTGTTGTCTCTTTCTATATTTTTGCCTGGTGGTTGCGATTCTCCTGGGCTCCAATCAGGGGAAGCCCTGATTTAGAAAGTGCTAATCGAACTGTGAATCGTGTCCACCTCCTCCTCTGGCTCTACAATGGTCGATGATTGAGCAGCGGCAATCGAAGATCTGGTGCCGGTGAGCTTGTGGACGACAAAGTACAACGGATTTTTAAGGTTGTGGCCGCGAATGAAAGGATGTGAGAGAGGATTTATATTTTATGTGACGGAGTGTATATTAAAAATATAATTTATTATATAAATTTATTTAAATAATTTTAATAAAATAATATAAAAATAATTTTATTAAAAATATTTAAATAAATTTTTTAAAATAAATTTTATTTTTAATCTATAATAATTTATCTCGTAAAGCATCTAAAGATATATTTTAAAGAAAAATTGAAAAAAAAATTTTGTGTTTACACTTTGTTCACACCCATTTACACATTTAAATTATATAATTTTATCTTTTAAACCCCTAAATTAGATAGGAACTATATTAGAACCAGTTCAAATACTCTCTTTCACATTACATCAAATTTAATGATAGGAGTGGAGTTATTACTATACCTCAAATAATTAATGTCATACCCTTTTAATATAACCGTAAAATGACCATCAGTCCTAAAAAAATTTGGAGTGCTAACCCAAAACAACGTCATTTTCTTAATCTCTCGCCCTCTCTTAGTGTCCCGCCCCTCCTTCTTTTTGCCCCTTCTGCACTCATCTCCATCTCCATCTCCATTGCTTCCCATCTCCATTGACTCCTCTGATTCCTTCAATTTTTCAAATACAATCCCACGCCACCGACTTAATCCCCAGCACCCATTATTTTCACCCAATTCTCCCGCTGCAATTCGTCATCTTCGTCGACGGTAACCCCTACTTCTTCGAAGGACAGTAAGTACTTTATTTTCTAACTATGCTTTATCTACCCAAGAAAGTCAGAAAAAAATCTTACTCCTAGATTATCTTTTATTACAGGAATTAAGATGAATTCTTCTCCAATTTCACAACAAATATCTCAAAATGAAATTGATGGGAACAACTGCTTAGTCTTACAAGCAGTAAATGACAACAATGACAACTTCTTAATTGTACAAATGGATGATCTTAAGGGGTTAGAAGAGATTTCTACTAGTACTGTTATGGAAATTGAAAGACCCAAAATGTTGGGTGAAGATGACATTATTGGTGGGATGCCTCGTAAAGGTATGCAATTTCCTTTGACTGATGAAGCTCATGAATTTTATAATGAATATGCCAAAAGAATGGGATTTAGTCTTCGCATGGAGTCAGCAAAGAGGTCGTCCCCAGATGGACCTGTTAATTGAAAAATATTTTGTTTGCTACAAGGCAAGAAAAAAGAGAAATTATCAGCCTAAAAAAAAGGGAACATGTGACCGTCCAGATAGAGTAAATTGTTGTGCTCGAATGTCTGTTCTCTTGAAAGATGGAGTTTGGATTATAAGCCAATTTATTGATGAACATAACCATGAGATGTTTGATTCCCCAAATAAAGTAAAAAAGCTGCAATCCCGCAACAAAGAACACTTATTATCGGAGACAATTGAGCTAATGGATCAATATAAACAAGCTGGCTATGGACCTTCTAGAATTGCAAGACTTTGAATGTGACAGGCAATGGTACATCGAATATTACCCCACAAAAATGTCAACAACATTTGAGGAAAAAAAGGGAGAGCAACATTGGTCGCAAGTGCATGATGGTCATGCAACAATTCTTATTCATGACTGCTTCAGATGAAAATTTTTACCATGCCATAGAGATCGATGAAAATGGTGTTTGTAGGAGCTTGCTTTGGGCATATGGGAGAGCTAGGGAAATGTATCAAAATTTTGGTGATGTTGTGGTTTTTGATGTGATATATCGGACTAATACATTTCTTTTACCATTTGCTCCATTTACTGGTGTGAACCATCATGGGCAGTCAACCTTGTTTGGATGCGCCCTCCTACCAGATGAACAGGAAGATAGCTTTGTGTGGTTATTTGAGTAGTGGCTACAGTGCATGGGGGGTAAAGCACCTGGTGCAATTATCACTGACCAAGACATAGCAATCACTAATGCAATTAAAAGGGTTTTTCCCAACACACGTCATAGGTTTTGTAGTTGGCATATCTCACTCCATGAGGATGAGCATCTTCGGGCTTTAAGATCATCATATAATCTTGGATTTGATGAACAATATTATAAGTGGGTGAGAAAAAGTAAAACTATTGAAGAAGCAGAGAGTGCATGGAAAAAGTTAAAGGAGAAATATAAACAAGAGTTTATGGAGCCATTGACAGAGAAGCAACGCAATGAAAAAAGTCCTGGAAATGGTTAGAAAGCATGTATGAGCAATGATATAGTTGGATTGGTGTGTATTTGAAGGACACATTTTTTGCTGGAATGAGATCAAGTCAACGAAGTGAGAGCATTAATTCATTTTTTGATGGTTATGTGAACTTTATGACATCGTTATCCGAGTTTGTTGGCCAATATGCTAAAGCTCTACAATGTCATCGTGATGAAGAAGTGAATGAAGACATGTGGACAATGAGAGCAAAGCCAAGTCTGTGTCACTTGCATAAGTTAGAAGTTCGAGCTGGAATGGTTTACACTAGAAAGATATTTGTTAAATTTCAAAGTGAGTTCAAAGATTCTTTATATTGTGTGCATGATGAAGTAGCTACTAATGATGGGATGACCACATATGATGTTAGTTATGGGTTTGGGGGCAAGGTTGATTCACACTCCGTACCATGTGGTCCATCCAAGGAGGAGTTTGCTTGTACTTGTGGGAAGTTTGAGACTAGTGGTATTTTGTGTAAACATATTCTTCAATAATTATGCAATGTTATCGAATGGAAGAGATTCCTAAACAATACGTTTTGGCTAGATGCACCTTGGCATATAGATATAGCAGTAAACAAGCTCAATTGATAAGGACATCAAAATAATTAGTGGTTTCTGCACTTGATTCTTGGAATCTTGGAAAATCTCTTAATGAAGTGCATGACCAAGTAGTAAGTCATGGCAAACTTTATACTGTTGCTACAGTAGTGGTGGAAGATTTGAAAAGGAAATTATATAGTATTAGAAAGGAGCTTGAAGGTTTGGTTACTGAACAAAGTGAGCAAGATTTTGGTGCTCAAGCAATATCTCAAGATTTAATTTCAAGTAACATAGATATTCGTGATCCGGAAAGGTTTAGAACCAAGGGTCGACCAAAGGAACTTTCTAGGATTCCTGTAGGAAAACAAGTGTCACAAAATACAGCTCATATTAGAAGGTGGACTTGTAGCACATGTGGTATTAAAGGTCATGATTCTAGGACTTGTGGAAAGACAAAAGACAAGGTAAAATTATTAAGTTAATCATTATTTTTTCACTTTTTAGCATCCTATTTGC